ACACACACACACACACACACACACATATATATATATATATATACACACACACATATATATATATATACATATACAAACACACACAGTACGATACATTGATTAATTGCAGCCAATTGTAATGTCTTCATTTATTTAGTAGATCCAGACCAAAATTTATTGTAAAGCACCACCATTCTGTAACACTGCACAGCAAGAAATAGAAACTGCATATGTAAACATCAAATATGCCTGCCCCTAGGTACACATACACGGCAAACTATCTATACAACAACAAAAATATTATTTTTAAAAAGATTAGTACAGAATTTAACCCCTTCGTGACGGGAGACGTACACTGTACGTCCAGCCACAAAGGGACCAAATGACTCGTCACGTACTGCTGGCATCAGTTCTCATTACAGTTTCTTCTACCCTTAGGGAAAAAAGAAAATTCAATTACAGTTTCTTCTACCCTTAGGGAAAAAAGAAAATTCAATGTGTGGACTTTTTTCAATCAAGTTTTGTTTTTAGGTTGCTGGTCTATTGCCGGAAATTCATTCTATGGTTTGGTGTTTAATTGATGCTGGGACCCTGGGAAAGTGCAACTCTGTGTATAGGGAGGCTTGGAAGCTAAGCTTGGACTCAATCCTCCTATATTTGTAATATTATATCCTTGCTTTCAGATTCACTAGAATGCTTCTTATACACAAGTACCTTTTCAGCAATTATGATAGTGGTAACCTGAAGTGTAAAAGATTTGAGGCCCTCACAGAAATCGTCCCAGGTGCTTAGGCATATAAAACAGCTGAAAGCTGATGTTGCAATGTTGCAGGAGTCCTAGCTCCCCCAATAGATTTTAATTTATTAGGAGGGCTAGGGCAGGTGCTGGGGTACCCACTGTTGGCCGCAAGACAAGTGTTGTGACTTCAATCCACAAAACATGTGGCCGGTCATGTTGTATGACAGTCCCAAGATCACACTGAAGGTTGATGTGCTTCTACTACCTTGCAAGAGGGCAACAAGTTTCTGACACTAATCAATGCCTACTCTCCAAATGCCAGTAACAAACCCTTACATCTTGCATTGCTCGAGTCATCCCAGGCTGGGTGGGATATACATCTCGAGCGCCCTGGAGCACAGATATTCAGCCTTGTGTTCAGCCACCTGTCTGCTCACCACTCAAGACATGCAGCTGAGGACTTTAATTTAGTGATTGGTTTCATTGATGCCTGGAGGCACATTCTACCTTGGGGAACAGATTGAACACATTGTTCTCATCCCCTTAAGGTAATGTACAGGCCTGATTTGTTTCTCCGCAGTTGATCTCAGACATCTCTACAGTGAATTTTGAATTTTTTTTCTTTTTTTTTTTACAGCAGCAGAGCCGCCGGAAAATAGGGAACTATTGGGCGTAGCTAGCTGTCACTGCTAGCTCCGCACAATCGTTTTCTATTTACTTTTTTTTTACTTTATTCACTCTTTTTCTGTTCTGCTCGGTCCCTCTGAGGGACCAAGCAGAACAGCCGAGCCAAATGCTGCTCAGCGGCATTCGGCTATTCACTCACTGATGTTCGGCATTTTTAAGAATAGCCCGAACAGCAGTGAGAAGCCAGCCGGAGATCCAGATGTTGGACTTGCTGAGTCGAACTCCTTCCACTCGAAGCAATCCGATGTACGGCTGATTTCAGCTGATGTACAGCTGAAATCAGCCGTACCAGCCTGAAGTAAATAGCCGAACAGTGTTCGGCTCACTTCACTTCAGATCGGTCATTCACTCGGCTGCCCTCGGCAGCTTGGTGAATAGACCCCATAGTGATTTCAGACCACCCACCAGTCACCCTGAAATTGAGGGAACTGGGACCAAAGGGGCCACAGTAACATGGAGATTTCCAGTATATCTGTATAAGAATGAGTCTTTTGCTGATTTATTTAAATATTGGTGTATGAACTATGCCACCTGTAATGTCTCCACTGCAGAAAATCCAGGTCTCTTCTGGGAAGCTGCAAAGGCAGTGTTGAGGGGAAAGATATTTCCCAAATGATAAACACTGCGTATAGATATTGGAAAACATGCCAGCATGCACAGCATACCTATGTATACTTTAAAACTGCTATAACCTGAGTGGTTGAATTCCAAGGTACTATGTGATCACTGAATCAAGCAGTATGATCAACAGATTATATTTACAGAGATGTAGATTTCTTTTGCTTTTGTAACCAATCCGTCCTGGCAAATCTGACTAGAGGTAGGAAACCTGTTACCCATATTACGCAGCTAAAATATCAGTAAGATAATGTTTAGACCGGTCAGATGGCCTTTATATAAATATTCCAAGTCTTTTATTCTTCCTTATATGAAGCATCTTTTTTGTCCCTCAGAGTGGAGACACATTTTCAAAAATGTGTCTCTCTCATCCTTGATTCCTGAGGAGATTGACTTCTTAAATATAGAAATAACACCAGAGGAAGAGGTGAGATGGTATCTTCACCTAGTTCTATAAACTTTGTCTAAGAAGTAACAGCACCATTTCTTTCAGTAAATGTCTTCAATGTTTATTAATATACTGTATGTGGACCCCAAAACCATTGTGAATATCAGTTCTTCTCTTCTAGATAAGATAACTGAAAATGTAATCATACTTACCGTAATTTTCTTTTCCTGGTTATACTCCATGGCAGCGCTGACAAATGGGTTTAGATCCAATTACCCCTAGCTGACAGGAACCAAAAGGGTTAAACAAGGCCTAGCCCTCTCTATAAAAGCCCCTCCTCCTGCTGACTTCCCCAGTCTAGTAACAAGCTAAAAACTCCATAGGGTGGGAGCCCAGCGCTGCCATTGTGTATAACCAGGAAAAGAAAATTACGGTGAGTATGATTAAATTTTCAGTTTTGCTGGCCATATCCATGGCAGCGCTGACAAATGGGGATTACCCAAGCAGAAGTAAGGGTGGGAACAAAATCCATAGACAAACATAATTGAATGCGAAAAATAAATGTATCACTCGACTCCAAGTCGAGAGAGCAAAACACTTCTACCGAAGTGGTCATTCACTGCAGCCCTGACGTCCAGCCGAGAATGCTAACAAAGGTAGACCTAGACGCCCATGTTGCTGCCCTGCAATTTTGATTCACCGAAACTCCAGCTGCTGCTGTCCATGAGGAGGACACGGCCCTTGTGGAGTGAACACCGATGCCTTTTGGTGGGGAGACTCCCGCTGTTTGACAGGCGTTAATGATGGTGAGCACAAGCCATCTGCTTAATGAAGTTTTGGCTGCTGCCAATGCCTTCCTGGCTCCTGCCGTGATCATAAACAGCCTTCTGGACTTTTCCCAGTCCTTACATCCTTCCACATATGTCCTCAGACACCGGACTAGGCTCAAACATCCTTCCATCCCTTCTGAGTTGAGAGCGGAAAGGATAATATCCTGAATTACATGAACACTAGCATGAACCTTCGGCAAGAAACCTCATACAGTTCTCAGAACTACTCTATACTCATGAAAAATGAGAAAGGGTTGACCACAACCACAGGGCTTGGAGCCCCGACACCCTCCTTACCTGAAGCCAAGACTTCTAAGGAGACCATCTTGTATGACAAGAATTGCATAGAAATAGACTGTATTGGCTCAAAGGGAGGTCCTGAAAGAGCCTCCAAAACTAGAGGAACATCCCAAGACAGATAAAGAAGCATATTAGGAGGATATACTTTACTCACTACCTTCAGAAACTTGGAAATACAGGACTACAGAACACCCCCTCTCCATAACATGTTGGGGAGGGGTTCTGATAAGTGATGAAAAGGGACGAAAAAAATTTAAAGGGGCAATATGGAATTTTTTTTTCGAAGAACGAAATTACTTTATAGCAGTAAATATGTTTTTTTTTTTTTTAAATCCAGCTTTATTAATCAAAAAAGCAAACTGACACAAATATTGCATGTATAGGTCTGCACGCAATTGGTCAAGGAGGGGCAACTCCAGAAAATGTGCAGCATCGTGCCCACTGCAGTACCGCATCTCCAGCACACCGCTGGGATGTTGGGGTTCATTTTGTTCAGGATGTGTGGAACCCTGTACCACCGGGACAAGACTTTGTATCCCTGTTCTTGAAACCTGTTGGCTATCGAGCATTTAAGGGAGAAATATATCATCTTGTCTCTCTGCTGAGGGGTAAAGGCAGTGTTTAGGTCTGTCTCCCAACCTCTGCAGAAATTGCGGGGTGAAATCTGGCGGGGGGGCAACTAACATTTTGTAAGTCTGGGACAGTGCATGTCTGACTGGTTCCCCCCTCCCACACATGTCTTCAAAGGGAGTCAGCGACCTATCCATCTGTAGCGAGGCAGGGATTGCCAACAAAAAATGCCGGAGTTGGTAGGTAGTCCAAGCATCCAGGGGTGTTTGCAGTAATGCTCTAAGAGCCGGTATTCCCATCCAACTTCCCCCAGCCCTAAAGTCCCGAACCCGAAATTTGTTGAGTCCTATGAGAGTGCGTAGGCGTCGGTTTTCCATACCCACTGGGAAGTCTGGGTATCCTATCACTGGGGTGAGCGGGGAAGGGATTGGGGAGATGGACGAGGAGTGAAACAAGGCCCTCGCAATTCTGAGTGTGGCTCCGATTGCGGGATGTCAGAACGCAAGACACGGGCATTGGGCTTGAAAGCCACGGAAGACCTGACAGCGGGATTGGTGA